ACTTACCTAAGCCCTCGGATGATAACTGACTTACCTCACATGGAAGTAACATTGGCAGTAACAATTATTTATTGATTAAATTTTTTATGTAGTCATTAGGCTAAAGAGCACAGTGCTGCGCGACACCGTACTAGTTAATTAGCAGAAAGACTTGCTATTTTTAAGATTTGTTCTTCTTGACATTCATTGAGATGACATACTAAGTAAGTTACGAAAATTACACGAGGAAGATAATAAAAGTCTTGGCCAATCAGTATTTAAACCAGGTACTTCACTATCAGGCCCCAACTATGACTGAATTATTTTTTTATATAACAAAGTGGTCGTGCTATGTCGTGAATTGGAAGAAGTTAGAATTCATGGGTCATTCGATCGGGTCCCAATGGCTCAGTGGTCTACGAGCTCGCCTTGTAACCAGAAGGTTCTGGATTCGAACCCTGATGATGGGTACGTACTGTGAAGAGTCCCAAACTAAGACAAAACAGCTGGTTTTCCAATGGTTCTCTAACCGATGTAAAATCATGATGAAATCCTTCAGCCAATCAAACAAAACCTCTACAAACTAATACTTGACAAAATTACTTGGCAATATTCAGAATTCTGAATAGCATGAGTGGTTTGAAGGTTAGCTTGTCGACTTCATAACTAAATGAACCTGTATTATTATTATTATTATTGTTCCCTTGGGTTCCTAGTGGAACATAGGGCTTCAACTGCACGTCTCCACTTGCTTCTGTCTTGTGCTGTACTTTTCACCTGCGTCCATGTTATTCCATACTGTTTAAACTCCTCTTTACACGATCTCCTGCATGTCACCCTTGGACGTCACACTCGCCGCTTCCCTTTCGGGTTACACTCGAGGGCCTGACGCGCGATGTCACTCCACGGCCTCCTCAGCGAGTGTCCAATCCATCTCCACTTCCTCCTGCATATTTGTTGGGCAATTGGTTCCTGTTTCGTTTGTTCCCACAGCTTCTTGTTGGTGATTATTTCCGGCCATCTAATCTTCAGTATGGAGCGAAGACAGTTGTTGATAAAGGTCTGCAACAGGCTGTTGGAAATATTCTTTGTGACCCACCACGTTTCTGATCCGTAAAGCAAAATTGACTTCACGTTGGTATTGAAAATCCGAATTTTGTTGTTGATGGTGAGTGACGAAGATTCCCAGATTAGTTTCAGTTTGATGAATGTGTTTCTCGCCTTCCCGATTCTCGATTTGACATCCTCGTCCATCCGTCTCTCCTGTGGTTGAGACAATGCTCCCTAGATAAGTGAAAGAAGTAACCTCTTTCAAATCCCTCCCGTTGATGGTGATTGGCACTGGATGTTGCTGCTGTTCTTGGTTGGTTATTTTCATGACCTCCGTCTTGTCTATGTTCACCTGGAGTCCTGTCTTCTCTGGCTGCTTCTTCAACCAGTTTGTCGGTTTTCGCTTGTAGGTCTTCGATTTTGTGTGACATCAAACATAAATCATCCACAAAATCCAGGTATTCTAGGTTCTTCACGTCGGTCCAGGATATCCCTGTCTTCTCGCTTCCCACTGTCTGACGCATAATCCAGTCCACCACAATTAGGAATATCATTGGTGATAATAAGCACCCTTGTCTGACTCCTGTGTTTACTCCAAACGCTTCGCTGAGTTTTCCGTTGTGGATCACTTGACATGTGCCGTTGTCGTACAGTTGTTGAATAAGGTTGATGAATATTTGGGGTACGCCGTAGTACTCGAGTAGTTTCCAAATTACTTCGCGGTCAACGCTGTCGAAGGCCTTCTCAAAGTCTATAAAGTTGAGATAGAGGTTTGATTGCCATTCCATGCTTTGTTCTGTGATGATGATGCGTAGAGTTGCAATTTGGTCAGAACATGATTTGCCTTTCCTGAATCCACCTTGTTCTGGTCGGAGTTCTGTATCCAGCGCGTCCTTAATTCTCTCCAGGATGATGCGACTCAGGATTTTACTTGGCGTCGACAGCAGCATGATTTCTCGCCAGTTCTTGCAGATTCCTAGGTCGCCCTTCTTTGTTAGTTTCACAGGGTAACCTTTCTTCCGGTCAGTAGGCACCTTTCCCTCCTTCCAGACATTTTGCAATAATGGAGTCAGCATATCTGCTGTCGTCTCTGGGTTCGCTTTCAGTGCTTCAGGGGGTATTCCATCTGGTCCAGCTGCCTTTCCAGCTTTCAGAAGCTTGATTGCATTCATGACTTCAGTTTTCGTTGGAGGATTGGTGTCCACTTGCAGTTGTGTACGTGCTGTTGTTGGTATTTCTGGACGGGTTGCAGGTGGTGGTCAATTCAAGAGTCGTTTGAAGTGATTCACCCATTGTTTAATCTGTCTTTCTTCTTTGGTAATTGGGTTCCCTTAGCTGTCTTTTATGGGTTTCACTTGTGTTGATTTCTTCCCGGATAGAGACTTGGTTATCTGATATAATGTCCTCAGGTCCCTTTTGACTGCTACCTTCTCAGCTTCAGTGGCCAGTTTGTCGTAGAATTGTCTTTTGTCCTTCCTGGCACTCTTCTTCACTTCTTTGTCCAGTGCGCTGTAAGTTGAGCTCAGCGTCTCTTTCTCTTGTCCATCTTTGCATTGGATCATTTTCTCTTTCACCATTCTCCTCTCCTCTATTAGTTTCCAAGTGTCTGTTGAGAGCCATTCCTTGTCTTGTTTCTTCTTTCTTCCTAAAACCGTTGAGCACGTTTCGTTGAAAATTACCTTCAGAGAGTTCCAATGGTCTTCCACGGATGATTCCTCTGTGGTGCCTCGTAGTGTTTCCTGCTTTGCTCTGACAGTTGCAGTGAAAATGTCCTGTGTGATTGTGTCCTTCAGTTTGTGAGTGTTGAACTTGCATTGTGGCCTATCCCCAGGTATCCTCGAGGCTTTCAGCTTCACCTTGAATGTCCCTTGTACTAGATAGTGGTCTGAACCCACATCTGCTCCTCTCCTCGATCTTGTGTCCAGTAGGCTCCGTCTCCACTTCCTTGAGATTGAAATGAAGTCTATCTGGTTTTTGGTGTGTCCATCTGGTGAAATCCATGTTGCCTTGTGTATATCCCTGTGTTTGAACACACTGCCACCAATCACCAAATCATTGAAGGCGCAGAAGTCTGAGAAGAGTTCACCATTTTCGTTCATTTCACCGAGGGCCTCGCGACCCATGGTGAGTTCTCTTCCTGTATTGTCTCCTCCCAGTTTCGCATTCATATCACCCATCAGGATTTTGATATCGCTCCTTGGGACGTTGTCCATTACTGTTTGTAGTTGACTGTTCTGAGGCGTTTGTAGGCGCGTAGCACTGAATGATTGTAACCTTTTTTCCTTTTGAGTTGAACCTGGCTGTCATTATCCTGGAGGAGATTGGTTCCCATTGCATGAGAGCTTTAGCCGCTGTTGGTGACATCATGATGGCTACTCCCTCGGTGTGCTCGTGATTGTCCCCTGGGTGACCGGAGTAGATTATTGTCTCTCCAGTTGATAGTTGGCTCCTTCCACATCCGTTCCATCTGCTCTCGCAGATTCCCAACACTTCTATTTTATATCTCCTCATTTCTGCGGCTACCTGAGCAGCCTTCCCAACTTCGTACATTGTACGAACATTCCACGTCCCCATCCTTATTTTCGCTCTCATCGAAAGAAGGCACATCGGCTGACTGGCTTCCCAAAGGCTTTCACCAGCCCGCGTCATTTCACTTCCCCGATTCCAGCGAAAAATAAGGTCACTATTTGTAATTTTAGTATTTTGAATATATTTGTGCATTGAAGTTTTAGTAGCAGTTTGGTTAAGTTTTGGGGGTGGAGTTGCTAGCACCACGCCCCAACCCTCCCTCTTTATCCGGGCTTGGGACCGGCTAGAATACTAGTGACCTGGTAATCTAGGCGAGGTTAAATGAACCTGTGGGAGAACAAAAATTTCTTTCACTTTGAAGACTCACCCCTCTGATTAGTAGCAACAAGCTGTGAATCAATAGTAACAAGGAGTTATTTCCGACTAAGTCCTAAAACGTTTCACAAAATAAACTCTGACATTTGGTAGTGTCAGTCAACTCGGCAACTTAAAATGTGAGAAACTTAATTACCTTTTAAATGTCTTCTGATTATCCTTTTAGGGAAACTTGTTAGCCTTGAATTTAAAGTAATTTAAGTGAAATGAAACACCCAGTAAAAGCAAAAACAGTTGCTTAGCATGAAGAATATAACCGTCTTCAGGTGAAACGATGAATTAAGTAAGAAAATTTTTCGATTTGAAGAAGTATTGCTGAAGGTTTCCTTATCATAACTCTGATTTCAGTCTAGACTAACCAATATAAAGGAATACCACCAATCTTTTAAGTCAGTAGAACACATCCAAGACAGCGTTTTCTGTCTAAAAGGCACGGAAGTATGTCTGCTATATTTAAAACATAGATTTATCTGAGAAGTCGTTAGTTTTTTAACTCGACATACCTTTTTATTGGAAACAAATAATAACTTATGTCCCAATTGGTCTGGTGGATGAGGCTCTAGAGTTTGAAACGATGAGTACTGGGTTCATATTTGGTGAGAAGACAATCAGCCACTGGGGAGTACATTTACATGCAAACGAAGAGTCCCAAATAGGACAAAATGTGCATCCTAGATCCAGGTGCTAGTCACTATTCAGGAAACTACTTCATATAAGCCCTCAGATGTCGTTGAGGCGTCCGTTCTAGGAGCTAACATGTCGACACAGGCCTAACACCTTGGTCTAATTAATCGTTGGGGGAATCAAAATTGAATTAAAAATCAATAATTTTAATTCCAGTCAGTATAAGTGATTATTTTCTTTAACTTGCAGCCTGAAATGTACTGTTTTACCCTTCATTTTCATCATATTCATCAAACATATTTACAGAACAGATTCCAAACGTTGAACTAGACACATTACACTAGTTACTAACTATTGTCCAAACAAAAGAACAGATTTCAATTAATGACAGAACTTTCTTCTTATAGTTAATGAATTGCTCTTGGTTTATTTTTATACTTTAGATGATTAACATAAGCAAAGATACTGATTACAACAGAACAGTCAGTGTGACACAATTATCTTATACAATGCTGAATGAAAAATTACTCGGCAATTGGTTTGAACTACTGTGTTTCCATAAAAAGTAAGTAATATTCATTACAATTATCTAAAATGTCTCGCTACCAAATTCTATTTGTGCTAAGCTATCGTTATTGTAATTTTACGTTGAAACAAACCTGTTGATGACGTAACAAATATGCAATTATTATTATTATTCCCTTGGGTTTTGACAAGGAGCATAGGGCTTCAACAACTTAACTCCACTTTCTTCTATTTTCTGCTCTCCTCTTCAGCTAGGTTCACGATTACCCATCATCTCTCATCTCCTCCTCGTCACACAGTCTCCGCAATTTCACCCTTTCTCTGACGATTCACTCGTCTTTTCCTGTTTGGATTCCACTCAAACTATGACCTGGAGTGCGATGTCATTCGACGGTCTCCTCAGGGCATGTCCAATCCATCTCTATTTTCTCCTGCATATTTGTTGAGCTCTTCGTTGGTTTGTTCCCAGCCACAGTTTCTTGGTGCTAATTCTTTCTGGCCAGTTGGTCATTTGATCTTCAATATGGAGTCAGAGAAGGCAGTTATTGATGGAAATCTGCAACCTTTCGGAAATCTTTTCGTGACACGCAGTGCAATTTTTTGAGCCATATAGAAGGATCGACTCCACATTGGTGCTGAGAATCCGAATCTTGTTTCTTATGCTGAGCGCAGAAGATTTCCAAACTGGTTTCAGGTTGATGAAGGCGTATCTGGCCTTTCCGATTCTGGCCTGCTTTCACATCTTCACTCGTTACGACTACCTGTGGTTAAAACGATGCTTCCTAGATAAGTAAATGAGGTAACCTCTGTCAAATCTCTTACGCTGATGGTGATTGGTGCTGGTTGTTGTTACTGTTGGTTGGTTACCTTCATCAACTCCGTCTTCTCTGTGTTCACCTGCAGTCCTCTCTTCGCTGCCAGCCTCTTCAGCCAGTTGGCTGTCAGTTCTCGCCTGTAAGTCTTCGAATATGTGTGACATTAAACATAAGTCATCTGCGAAGTCAAGATCTTCTAGAATCTTCTTATCGGTGGTCCAGCGTATTCCTGTCTCCTCGCCCCCTACGCACAGTCTGACGCATGATCCAGTCCACTACAATTATCAATTCTCATAATAGGCAGCTTTGTCATATTCCTATATTTACTTCAGAGGCTTCATCGAGGTTTCTGTTTTGTATCACGTGACACATGAAATTGTCATATAGACAGCTGTTGAATGAGGCTGATAGATACTTGGGCACTGCACGCAGTAGTGTTGAAGTAGTTCCTAAATTACTTCTTGCTCAACACTGTCTGTCGAATGTCTTTTCGAAGTTGATGAAGTTGAGGTAGAGAGAGGTTTGACTTTGATTCTGTGGTTTGTTCGATGATGATGATGATGGTGATGCAAAGAGTTGTAATTTGATGAGCGCATGATTTCACTTGCTTGAATATATCTTGTTCCAGTTGGCGAAGTTCTGTATCTAGTGCATCTTGTATTCTCTTCAGCATGACGTGACTTAGTATTTTACTTCGTGTGGACTAGAACAGGGTTTCAGGCCATTTCTTGCAGAATAAGTAATTAGCTGTGTTAATTCTCTGGATATTAGCTTAGGTTTTGCATGTGAGCATAGGCTGTGTTTGGGGTAATGTATGCTTAGAAACACCTACTCACATGGTTCAAAGTTGATCACTGTGTAACTTTAATATTCACCTTCCATATTTATAATTTTGAACATTATTCAACAGCCTTCATTTAACAGTCACCTTTTATCTTCCGTATCGTTTTTGTTAATTTAAACAACTTCCCTGTTGTAAAAAATTATATTTGTAATATCTCAGCGATATTGAAATGAGTAATTCCAACGTTTCGTTCGGCAATCTGGTCCTAACTTCTTCAAGGAAATTAATCAAAATTAACTTAACAGAGGTTTTATATATAAAAGGCACATCTTTTGTTTTTTAAAAACTTTGTCCAATCATGATATTACAAATATAATTTTTTACAAATGTCTACTTCTCACTCGGCGCCCAAATATTTTAGAACTATTCGGTCAAATCTTGACGACAGTTCATTTGAACATCCTTGTTGCTTTCGACTAGACACTAGGTAAAGAACAACTTTTTGTCCTATGTTGAAACGCTTAATCACTGTTCACTTACAGTTTTGTGAGGTGGTAGAAGCAAAACTGTAAGTTCTTACTATTAGACACGCGACTATTCAATCTATAGGCATCAGGAATCTGGTTGTACAAATATTATTACGGTTAAATTGACTTCCACTCTGCAGTTGATGATTTTTGTTGAGTTGAACTCGTAAACTTTGTAAGGGATTTCAACTTCATCGATTTGCTGTGAGTTGTTTGTTTATTGTATGATTTATTAAAATGTATGAAGAATGATTGATATTCGGTAATTTCTACCCTGAAGCACGTTTTATTCCTTGTGAACACTATATCAGTTATTCTCTTAATATCCATGTATTCAGGATGAATCAGTACTTACAGAATAATGAACTAGGAGACACCTTCAGGAAAAGATTGTACAAGTGAACAAATAATGTAATTATCCATAAGCAATTCAGGCTCACAGAACAGGAATTATACGCAAATAGTGATTTAGGATGGAATAAGATTTCCACTCAAGCTCATTCTGAGCCAGTAAATGACTAATATTTGAAATGATTAAGGCCTTCATAAGCTACATTACATCTATTTGATGTAAAGTAACTTTGGCAGGCTAAATAAGAAAATTCACTGAAGATGTCATAACTTGTTATAAAATCCCTAATAAAGATTTCTGTTTCATAAAAGCCTCTTACAACATACCATATGTATACACAAACTGAGCTGTGAACAAGGTTTAGTATGAAGACTTATGGTTCAATTCATGAATAATCCCCATCCAGACAAAACAAGTAGTTCAGCAAAGAGGCTATTTTCGGCGAATTCATTTTCTTTAGCCGTACAGTTGCATTTATATACCATTTTTCTTGTAAGAGGCTAGTAACAAAAGTGATGAGTTGTTTCAAACATAGTTGTTAAGGTTAGTCAGTGCATAAAAGAAGTTAGAGTTACGTAATAAGATGAATAATTTATTGAATGAATTGTTTTCAGGATGCACATAGAAACGAAGGAAAATGTGGAGTTACGTAGGGGTTATATAAGAACACAAGAGTGATAAAAAACAAGCGGACAAAAATCAAGTCACGTTTCAGGATTTCATCATAAACTGACATGAGTTAGAGGACCATTGGAAAACAAGCTGGGAGTTCTGGACAGCTGTTCTGTCCTAGTTCGGGAACCCTCAGCGGTACGCACTCACTGTGGTTCGAACCCAGGACCTCCTGGTTATAAGGCGTGGTCGTAGACCATTAGGCCGCTGGGAACAGACCCAGTGGCTTATGAATCCCAACTTCTGCCAATCCATGATATGGCGCGACCACTAGCGAGTCAGTAGAAATCACCACGGTTGTTACTATGATAGTAGGAGTGGCTAAATAATTTTTTTGTATTCATAGCCTCAGTTTTTCCAAGTGAATAGCTGAGGCTTCAATAATGCAAAGGAGAAGAAAGAGTATTGCATTTGGCAGGTTATTACTCTTTTTGTAGATTAATTAGGAGAAGGTGTTTGTCGAGATGGAATGACCAGTGTTGACTAGATTTGCGATTATCTCAGTCCTTATAGAGCTAGTTAGGATTGAAATTTAGTTATGCGGAACAGGTTGCTTTCTTATGTGATAGGCTGTGAGCCACATCCCATTATTTTTAAACTCTGGCAGCTTGACTGGGATTCATTTCTGCGGTGTAGTTTAGTTACTGAATACAGTGCAACTATTGTAAGAAGTTAAAATGAACTGAATTTCATGTGCTTATGAACAATATACAAAAATTAATGTGTTGTAACTTCTCATTGAGGATGGTATGAATGCAACCTGTCCATAAAAGTTTTAGGTGTGAAAATTCAGGCTTGGAGGTAAATTTTGAAATAAAGAATTATGAATACAAACATGATCTTTGTTTATCGTCTATTATCCAAGTTAATTGGATAACATAATTAATCCACCACAATGAATGCTAGATGAGCAGATATTAATTTCTTAAGATAGAAATAAAAACTATTTTTACAATACCATTAGCTTAAATTGTTGTGAAATCGACTACGGAGCTGTAACCCTGAAAAGCCAGAAAGCAACGATTCACAGTGTCCCTAAATTTTTCTAGGGACCATAAATGTCACAGTCGTACACAATAAGATGAGATGAATAGTCAAGCTTCAGGTAACATGTTTCAAGTTAACACTTACTCTGCAGAAGAAAGATTTTAATAACAGTTGTCTTCAGTAATAATCCACAAAAGAATGCTCATCGTAGTCTATCGAATAACTGTCTCAAGGTGTTAATAGACATACTACTGAACATTTCAGACATAATCACAGCAACCATAAAATAAGAACACGGACATTATGATGGTGAGAGTCGATCTCTCGGTTAAGGCATGCTAAGGACTCTGTTTATAGCCAAACTATGTATACCTTATTTTCAACGTGCCATTTGCATAGATCTTCCGTATTGTGCTACTTCTGGCCTTCATATTGTGTTTCTTTGTTTTCCTTCCTCGTCTCCCTTGTATCTACGCAATGCTGTATCATCTGACTTATCTGAAATCAAATTTGTCTCCCTGCTATCTGACGTTTTTCTACTGATGGACGTCTTTTTATATACTACTGATAAATCCTATCAGTAGCACTCGCCACAGTACTTGTCAGCAAGCTGATAATATTCCAATGGTGTTTGTCACTCAATTAACATTGAATGAAGGCTAGATATATTACGCCGTCAGGTGTACTGGTTCTGTATATCTTCGTTTACTCTTACACATAGGATGGAGAAGATTTGTAGCTCAGGTGGATGATTTTGATGTGGTTGTGTTCTCTGAGCTGGATAGTTAATTTGCGAAGCTTTCGTTGCCCTACTGGGCAACATCTTCAGCGCATACTTCAATTTGAAGTGAGCTTTTAGATTTCTAAACGAGTTTATTAGTCATCTCTCCTTGTGTGGAGAAATCTAAAAGCTCACTTCAAATTGAAGTATGCGCTGAAGATGTTGCCCAGTAGGGCAATGAAAGCTTCGCAAATTTACTGTCCAGCTCAGAGAACACAACCACATCAAAAACTCTTACGCATACATTTACAATTTGCCTTAAAATACATCCTTCGAATCTTATGCTCAAAAGGAGTTATTCTTTCTTCCTACTCTTGCTTTACAGACGCCTCCTACCATCGTTATCAATGTGTAATGGGAATGCTAAGATGATGAAATACTGGGCTTCTGTAGTGGTAAGCTTTGTTTATTCACCAATGGTTGCTGATTGTTAATTCGAGTTCCAGATTGACTAATAGACTCATAGATAGACAGGCAGGCGAAAAGGTAAAATGATACCATTAGCACCAAACTAGACATTTCTGTCTAACAATCGATCACAGATTCAGTTACAGACAATACATCTTTCGATGCCAACTTTATTTCTTTTTCAATCATGATATATTACAATTATGAGTTTATATGAATTAATTGACAAATATATAAAAAGTGTATGAAGCAAATCTTGATTAAATTTGACTAAGGGAATACAGAGAAAACCCTAAATGACATGCGTATGTGTATGAGAGCGGTCAGAGTCACTTCACCTCGTATCACTCAACAGCCTGGGCGATAACTTTTAGCGTCATCCATTGCATTGTTGGAATTCCCCTTCGCAATGAGTACAAAAGACAACAGGACTATAACTTTCATTAAGTTTTCGTCTAATGTACTGGTCATAGTGTTTCACATTGGTCATGATTTGACGATGCAACGCAAATTTCTTTATGGTTTCATTGATGGAGTTGATTTCTCAATGAAATAATTTATCAGAGTGTATACATCTAATGAATTGCCTTACCTTCAATAAGTACTGATAAATAGCCTTGAAAATTGTTTATAATCTAACAAAGAATGCTAGAATTATTAAAATTAAATATCCCCATTTTCTCAAAGTTAAAATGTTAGTTCAACCATGAATTGGAAGTAACCAGGACTCTGTCAGCTTTATATAAGGCAGCAGTTATAACTTTTCTTATTGTAGCCATTTCACTACAGTTTAAGGAAGGGTTACTCATCCCATGAGAGTTCATTTTAATTCTTATCTCAGCAGTGTTGCTATTCATGACAGATAGTTTAATCTGTTCAACAGATTCTGCTGATTATATTGGTTGGAACAAATACAGAGAATGATTCGTTGATTTATGTTCTAGTTTCATTCATTGTGCTTCGGTGGCACAGTGGTTAGGACACTCACGGGCCATGCACATGGTCCGAGGTTCGATCCCCTGCCGACGCACACCCGATATCTATGGTCGGCCTACAAAATTTGGGCTACTGATATCCATGCTGAAAACTCCATACCTGTACTGAAAATACGGTGTGGCATCAAGCTGTAACCAAAATAAAAATAAAATAAATAAAATAGATAATCCGTGAAAGCCAACAGTCAATCCAATCCAGCCGTCTTCACACAACTCAGTCGTAATCGGAGGGAAAATCAGAGATGGAGAGACTAATCCATTTTTGATTAAATGATTTAGCACATACGTTAATCTATGTAATCAGTTAATCAGTGGGTCTCACTAAAAACTGCCTTTATGAAAAAATGTTAGTTGTGGATCTTCAGGCAACCGTTCTGGTGCTTTCTTAGCTCTTCATAAAGTGTAAGGTATCAATAGGGAGTTCAGGATGTCACAAAAGAGAAAGAGCAAACACGAACGTCTTGAGCTTTTAACCAGACTGCTGGGAATACAGATCTATCTAGAGGAGTTGGAAAACTCTGGTCCCAGACCCAGGGTGTACATGGGCTCCAGAATCTCCAACGATCAAACAGGATGTGAACCTGTTCTACTCACTAGCAGTGGTCATGAGAACTCAGCTGCTGATGCTGCTTCACTGTCTTGCGGATCAGACTTCAAACCAAAGTCTTGTGGGTGGACCCATAAGACAATCATCTGCTTCGGTCTCAGTACTCAAGCAGTATCAGAGACCTCTATCTATTGGTGTCTATAATATAGCAAGTTTGTCTTTTGAATGAATACAATGATTAATTAGGACGTCATAAACAATTGGGTTCTGTGGTTCAGTTCGTACATCTGCCAGTTAGTGAATCAACGGTTACTGGTTTGATTAATCATTCCAGACAGGGTTTTTTATATTTTTGTATTTCTTTATGTTGATTTTTATGCTCTAATTAATTTTTTTTGCTTTGATTAATTTAATTATTTAGGCTCCATATTTAATAGATTTGTATACAACATATTGTTCATTATACGCAAAAGCTAGCCAACTTTGTGCTTATTTAGACAGAATTTCATGGAAACAAATCAGCTTACTACATGGTGATAAAGAAACGCATGAAATGGCTAAAGGATATCAGAATTCTACAAAATTATTTAAATGTCATTTGAGTACACCAGTTCGACGTATTCAATGTTATCACTTACTATTTGAAAGACTTAAAACAGAGGCGCATATTTCTGATATGTAAGTTGTATGCATTAAACTGAAACTGTAAACTCTATTTTGGTTTGTTTTGTTTATTTCCCTGATTACCAAATAATAATGTTTTTTCTTCAAGATTTGGTATGTAGGGATTCGATTTGTTTCAGGATTGATCATGGACTGATACCAGGTTGGCAGTGAGGTATACGGGCTCGCCTTGTAACTGGAAGGTCTCCGGTGTGTGGGTACTGATGAAGAGTATCAACCTAGGACGAAACTGCTGTCCAGTTATCCCTAGTTTTCAATGATTTTCTAACTGATATCAGTCCGTAGGCAAACTTGAAACAATTCTTGTCCTGTTAAAAATAATCTCTCAGCTAAATTATCTGCAACAGGATATAAGCTTAGGGCTTATACTCCTACTTAGCTGCCTAGGTGGATTTAGGACCAGTTAGTTTTGAACCCAGGACCTATTTACTGAAAGTCGAGCGTCTGAGCTGATAAGCCACATTACACTAGGAATAACTGATTCTATGTAGAGAAATGTGATCCAATTTAACATGGTACATGGTGATACTGTGATTCTTGTGCCAGTAAACGATGTTAAATAAATTAACATATTACGGAATTATACTCTGGTGCGACGTCTAAGTTCTGTCCCTGTTAAATGCCTTCACGTTAAAGACAGCAACTCTATTTTAATTCTGCTTAAATATAAATACAAAGTGATGATCGACTTCGTGTAGTTTAGCACAGAAATCCTTATTATTTTCACTGTTGTTGATGTTAAAATTTCAAAATAGCTAACAATTGTCATTATTGATTAATTTGCTAGGAACTGAGGATTATTCAAAATGAATTTATGAATGTCCTTCATTTTGTGTTGCAAATAAATTTGATGAAAGATATTTAGATCCAGTCATTGGTGTTTTAATCACAAAGAAAAATGTATCAAAATTACAGCTTCTCTTGGTGACGTAGTCACAGCAGGAAATATGCGTCTTATTACGATCAGTGAAGCAATATATTCTACTATCTCCTTTAATTCATAAATAATGATGAATTCTTGTTCAAATGAAATAGACAAATTGAAAATCTGCACGTGTTAGTGTTAGTTTGCAGGGATTTGATTGGTTACAGGATTCTTTACGAGTTGACATCAGTTAGAGAACCAGTGAAAAACCTGCAGGAAGTACTGAAAACTGTTTTGTCAGCGCAGTTTGGGACTCTTCATCAGTACGCACCCACCGGCAAGGTCCGAACCCAAGACCTTCTGGTTACGAGGCGTGCTCGTAGACCATTAAGCCAGTGGAACCCTATCCAATGGTTCATGAATTCTGACATCTACCAATTCGTGATACTTATTTAGAGCAACTGATAGCAGCTCATGATCAACATTGTGACCAATCAAATCCTTGTAAACCAACGCTTGATAGTTAATCTGATGCTCACTAGTGATTGATCCTATACAGGAAGTAACTGGGGTTCTATTAGGACATCGTAACAGGCGGGATCCACCCAAGTCAGGCAAGAGGACAGTTGCTCACGTGTGACATTAGCTGGCAGTTGCGCTCAATATATATAATTATTTTTGTGTGTGTGTACATAAGGTTTGTCAAACAAGAATAAAAATTAGTTTGGGTTATTCTTCTTCAACAACTCCAACTATAAACTATGGCATTTCACCACTTCTGTGTGTATCTGCCGCTTCACTTACTCAAATGGAGTGAGAGATATAGGCTGTTCGATGCGCATTTTATATAGAAGAGTCAAAGGACTTTACCGTACTAGTAATAGTGAGTCAATAAGGATTGCTATAACTGAACACTTATTCAACATTGGCCACTCTATATGCAAGAAGAATTCATTAGTGGTTATCTAAAAGGTTAAAAGAAGCCTCCCAAAAACGGTTAACTTTCGTATACTTTGCATTACTGAGGCCTTAGCAACTCGGTTGGAAAACCATGCTTTATGTACACAGAAGAAATTTCTCCATCCCTTCCTTACATCTCGAATATAATTTCAAGTTCAGGTATTTTGTTATCAATACTATTTCGTGTATTCTTCGATTGAAATTTAGTATCATCATTTTCTCAACCAACCTTCCATTTACTTGTAAAGAAGAAAAGACCGATGAGTTCGAAGGATTGTTAACTGGGATAAACGCATTGTAGATGCATAAATTTGGTATACCTTATCTTTAAGTCTTTATTTGCACATCATTCGTAAATTGGTTGAATATCACCACATTCGGTAGCTTGTTGGATTCTGCAAAGTGTTTGTAGCGTTCTTCAATTGTTTTTCCAGTCTCCAAAATAAATTGTTACTTTTCTGAATTCGTTTACTGATATACTACTTATATCTGATTATAAGTAGCACTCAGAACAACTCTTTCCACCTACTTAATGATTTATTTTTATACTAATCTCCAATGCTGTTTCAATTAAAAACAGTTTTTGCTGAACGTTTACATACTACATGAATCTAGTCTAAACTTACTAATCTTCACCTCCCCCATAGTACAATTCTGATCATTCATCACAGTTTTCTCTGATAAACCCAATGAACACACACATACAAAAATAATTGCATCTAATTGCGATTGTACAACTAAATGAATGAATTCGTTGAAAAGGGACTCTTTGCTGAACGATTTGTTCTGATTTCCATATCTGGGTGGATATTTTTCGTGAGTTAAAAATTATCAAAGATGTTTTGATAGTCTAGGGTGTCAATGAGTTTCTGAGCTATTCTGTCAAGCTTGCTGTGAAGTCACCGTGAAGGTCGGTTTTCTCAGAGGCTTTGGAAAAAATAATGTATTGCATTTAATGTTGCAAATGTCATATCTCTAGTGTCCAGGTTTTTGTATTCACTAATATATTGTACAATTTATCCCATTTTCAGTAAATACTTGGATGATGTCCGGAAAATATTCAACAAAATCTGTGCAACACTGGATGTGACAATGAATCTTCGGGGTTTAAATGTAGTTTTTAGTATACATTATTATTATTATATATTTTCAAAATTAATTACCGTACTACTCACAAGTAACTGTTGTAGATAGTCACATATGTGATGATCATTTATCTCTTCTTTTCAGCTTTCGAGATTTCATGTGTTAGTGGTAAACGTATTTCCAAACAGCGTTAACTGTATGCAATGGAGTTCAATATTGTTATTGTTTACTGGGGATATGCCTCTGTAAATTGAGACTGTGACCTCTCTCTGGTTTTTGCTTCCATACTAAATGTTACTTAACAAGAACAATCTAACTGTAATCGTCACCAGAATTACTCCCCTTTCTGCGATGTTGAAGAGAAAGAGAAGCGAAGATGCTAGTCGGAAACTATGTCTAAATTCCGTTAAAATCACTTTTTGTTTGCAATTTCTACTTCGTTTAAGTGTATTCCAATTCTTCTAGTCTGAAACTAAACATAAACATCATTCCATTAGTAATATTATTCAGTTTAATAAATGTCTATATGATGCTGAGTGCTTGGGTAGTTCAGTGGTAGAACACTTGTCTTCCATTCATGTGGTCCAGAGTTTGATTGCCAGCCGATGCACTCGCAAACCTCTCCTAGGAGGTCGCGTACCTGCTGAAGAGGGAAGGCTTCGAATGAGGCCAGCATACCTGCCCCGTAAAACACGAACTATCGATAGTGAAACTCTAAAGCTTGAGGCTCTATGTTTACCTTGGAACACAGGCGATTAATATAAATACAATGCTGACACCATTCACAATTTCTTTTTATTATTACTGATAAGTGATATATGTATGTATCAGTGCTAGCGTACATGGTGTCCGGACATAATTACTCTCCATACCGCTAAAATAAGTGATTTTAGGCCCATCTTATAGGTTATGCATTTGAAGTGAAGACAAAAATATGTTGAGAAGGGAGGAAAAGCTGTTATTTTGGTTATGGGCCTTAAAATTCTGTTTAACTTCATGAGTTTTCCTTCCTAGGACTAAAGAGGCCTAATTTTGAAATAGTGTTCTTTTGTCAGTAGGCAGATTTAGTAGAACACAGGGATTTCGTTAGGTGGCAATGATTAACACCACCAGCCAATCCTTTCCCCAAAGATGAGCGTGAACTATGCGTATTCTGAACTGATAAAAGCTAGAGAATACCTCTGAATAGACCAGCTCAAAACTGTTTAGATAAGTGAGTAAAACTTTCCTCTATTTATACAATTTTCCACTTAAAATATTGCTTTTCACATTGTGCATGGTATGAAAACAATCAATCCATTTTTAATTTAGGTCAGACCGTCTAAACTGGGATATTTCTTACTGGAAGGTGATTTTGCCATTACTCAATCAGTTGAATCTATAAAATCGAAAAAGCACTCACATGTTATCCTTTTCAGTAAGATGCTACTGATTACAAAGCCGTACTCCTCTTCCTCACCATCATCATCATCATCAACACCATCATTAAAAACGTATTTATCAGAAAGAAAAAGGTAAATCGTTTATTTCATTAAAACATGTATCACATACTTATCTTATAGTTGTCAGAATCATTTTCCAAGTTTAGAAGATTACATAGCATTCTTTGAATTTTCGCGTAATACTAATCTCAATCCTCCAAAAATGGTATTTGAAGTGGAATATGAGTTATGTGTAAGTTAAGTCTTAAATTTTTCTCTTTTTTACTTTACATTTCATGGATAAATAAGTCTAGAAGAAACTTGAGCGTGAAGTGATTTTCTCTGAAGGAGTATTGATAATCAGATGACATATCCTTTAGCGTATGAATTATGGGTAAAAACAGTCAAGGATCTAGTGTAGCTTAGTCATTAATAGATTATTATTATTACTATTGTTTCCTTTAATTCCTAGAGGAGCATAAGGCTTCAACCGCATGTCTCCACTGAGTTCCGTTCTCCGCCAACATTCTCACCTGGCTCCACGTCTGCCTACATGCTTTCATCTCCTCTTCGCATGATCTCACGCATGTCACCCAACCCTGGCACTGATGACCAACTCACCGCTTCTCATTCACCTTCCACTCGAGCGATTTCCTGTCGTGTGATGTCACTTGGTGCTTGGTTTTCTCAGAGTATGGCCAGTCCACCTCAATTTCTTCCTGCGTATTTGTTGCACAATGGGTTAGCGCTGGGTTGGTTTGTTAGTTTCCAGAGATCCCTGTAGGCGATCTTTTCTGGTTGGCCACCTAATCTTGAGTAGTGCTGAGCGAAGACAACTGTTAATGAAGGTCTGTAGTTTGTTTGAAGTGCTCTTCATGACACACCAAGTCTCTGATCCGTATAGTATCACTGAATTCACATTGGAGTAGATAATCTGGATCTTATTTTTCATGCTGTGCTGTTAACCTCAAAAGAGACTTGAGAGAAATGAAAGCTTGCCTTCCTTTCCCAACCCTCACTTTGATATTCTCGTCAGATCCATCCGCCTGTAGTTGAAACGGGGCTTCCCAGGTATGTGAAGCAGGTTGTTTCTTTCAGATTTCTCCCATTTATGCTGATTTTTGTCTGCTGCCATTGGCCAGGAACCGTCATCACCTCTGTTTTCTCTATGTTCACCTGAAGCTCTATCTTTGGTGCTTCTTCTATCGCCAACTTGTTGCTTTTCACCTGCATATCTTCCAGTTTGTGGGAAATCAGACATATATCATCGGCGAAGTCCAGATCTCCAAGTTTTTATGTGGGTCCATTTTACATCTGTCTCGTCGTTGCCTCTTGTCTGTCGCATTGTCCAGTCTACCGCAATCAGGAAAATCATTGGAGATAGTAGACAGCCAGCCTTTTCTTACTCCCATCTTCACTTCGAAGGATTTCGTTAGTTTCCCGTTGTGGATTACTTATCATGAAACACTGTGGTACAACTGCTGAATGAGGTGTATAATTGTTAGCGGCACCCCATAGTAGCGAAGAAGCTGCCAAATCACCTCTTGGTCGACGCTGCCTGTTGAAGGCCTTTTCAAAGTCAATGAAGATGAGATAGAGAGCTGACGGCCACTCCAAGCTCTGTTCAATGATGATCCGTAGTGTTGCGATTCGATCGATGCATGACTTGCTTCTCCTAAATCCAACCTGTTCCGGTTGAAGTTTTTCATCCAGGGCATGTTTGATTCTCTCCAGGATAATGCGGCTTAGTATTTTGCTTGGGATGGACAGGAGCATAATTCCGCGCCATTTCTTGCATTGACTTAAGTTTCCTTTCTTTAGTAGTTTGAATAAGTATCCTTTCTTCCAATCTTCAGGTAATTTGCCTTCTTTCCACACCTTCTTCATTAGTGGCGGCATCAAGTCCGCTGTTGTCTCTGGGTCCATTTTCAACGCTTCTGCTGGGACTCCATCTGGTCCTGCTGCTTTTCAAGGTTTTAGCATTTTAATGGCCTTCAGGATTTCTGTTTTCGTCGGAGGGTTGGTATACGCTGGTAGTTCTGCTTCCGCTGTTGGTATTATTGGGAGCGTTGCAGGTGGCGGTCGATTTAGAAGTCTTTCGAAGTGTTCACGGCAGTGTTTCCTTTGCTCCAACTCTTTGGTGATTAACTTTCCATTGTCATCCTTCACTGACTTAATTTGTGCTGATCTCTTCCCCAATAGGAACCTAGTTGTTTGGTAGAGTGTTGCAAGGTCTCCTTTGTATGCACTGCGGCTTGTTCTGGTTTACTTACCATAGCTTCGTAATATTGTCTTTTGTTTTCCCCAGCACTTTTCTTTAATGTTTTGTTCAACGTTTTATTCAACTATGTACAAAATTTAGTAATCGTATTAGTTCGAAAATTATCAGTGAAGACAGTCATTAGATTATGGCAATGCATGAAGGTATAAAATTACTACTATATATATATATATATATATATATATATATAGGCTATCAAATCAAAGGGTCAAATGTTAAGTGAAAGTAAAATGGTTGTTAAATGTTTTCAAGAAGTTAAATCACAGATAAGGTCTTCAGGAAAGGCAATTGCTCTATTCACAAAGAGGTTCAAAACCCTACTTTGCTATTACATCAACGCCAAAGATGTTGTTAAGGAAGGCACTGTGTTCACGGAAATTCATTTACCCAGCCCAAAGTATACACCAATACTAAAGTCCTTGCCCCTGAACTACAAGTTTTGTTCCATCATTTAGTTTGAAATTAACAGTTTGCAGTCGTAATTATAGCACGTAATAAGAGATGGGTTTGAGGGACAGTGACCAACGTCATCTAGCTTGATAAAGACTAACTACTGCATGTTTCTACATGAAGTATGCACTTTCTAACCTCCATTTAAGATGACTTTTTAAAACTGCAGGGAACCTAAATATTCCGACCATTTATTATTTAAATGAATACGTTTATTGATACATTTAACGCTTCCTAGAAATTTGTAATATAACTGATCTTTATTAACTTTGTTTAAATTATAACTTTTTCCCTTATAAACAAAATGCAAAAACAGCTCAATAGATTTGGATTATGCTCTAAATCAAATAATAACAAGAATGTTGACAAAAATAACCAAAGTAATGAGAGCCGAAGGTTCACTCTATTCACTGAGAATTATTCCTGTATATACACCTTCAAATCAGTCAATAGTTCAGTCAAGGAAATATGGACAAACACGCTCAGTCAATTGTTTATCAATCAATTATACGCATACAGAAAGAGATTATATTTGAAAACAACTAAACAACGCATAATTTCAGAATACAATGCCCAGAATAATAATAGTAATACCAAACAGTAATCCCAATGTCAAGTGAAATTTACTTGAAACAACAATTGCGGAAAAAGACAGTTGGGAAAACAATAAATGACAATTAGATTTCAGTGTTACAAAGAAGGTGATTTTAGAGAACATTTTACTTTTTTTTAAAAAAGATATTAGTTCTCACATTTTTTTGTGAGTATTTCGTTATGCAAAAGATTTTCCTTGATATGTTTATCAATTCTTTGAAATAAACACATTGGTACTGATATTTGTGAAGATTTCAGAATAAAGTATAATTGTTTAGCATCAACTCAGCGCGCACTGCCACGCCAAGTCGCCTACCATGGTGACCACGTTGCAAACTTGACTGTTAAGATTCAGTCTGCACCAAACCAACGACTAGAGGCATAGCGTTTGTTACTATCTAGTAGTCATTCGAAGTGTCCACTAAAGTCCTACAAGAGATAAGTCACAAGCTTAAATGGTTTAGTGGTACTGTTTCTGAATATATCCCTGAATAACGTGGATCTGAGGCGACACCTGTTCCTTCAAGAATGCGGATACGCCTTACTAGCGAGTGGCAACAAGCACGGAATCTAGTTCTAGGACTTCCTGAAGATTTCTCCCAGTTATCTAATATAATTCAGGATAATTACTTTGGACAGTATTTAATCAGCGTGCATTACCATGCTGAGTCACCTAGCTTGATGACCACGTTGGAAACTTGACTGGTAGAATCCAGTCTTCATCAACTTGTCCCTGCCATGGCCATCATAAACAGGTAATTCCTTTAATAGTGACTATCCTATAACCTTTCTTATCCAAACTTCCTGTTTATTCATGTAATTTTTAAGTTTTGCTTAATCCCTGTTTAGAATACCATATTTTCAAATCCGAAATTCCTGTCTATTTTGTCATTTTATCATTTCTACATATTTAATTCCTAATTGCATGAACAATTATGCGTCACATTAGCTATGATCCCATTAGATTTTTTATCCAACCATCCTGTCTATTTTGTTATTTTAACATTTCTTACCTCCTAATTGTGCAATATGTCAATATTCTCAGTAATTATTATGCTACTTTGTTTGAGTTTTAGCCGTCCACCCTGTTTATTATGGCATTTTAATTCCTGAAATGGTTCTAGCATAATACTACAACCTATCTACCTTACTATATTCTGTATCCTATCTTCATCAACCCTAAGGACTAGACGCATGGTGCTAGTTACTACTTACTGGTCAATCAAATTATCCATTACAGTCCTACAGGGGTAACGTCTGTACCTGTGGCACTGGGTGACATGTGTTCGAATCTCGGAGAGAAAAGAGTTCATTCAATATAGCAGATCTGCCTTGCTGATGAGTGGCAACAGGCACGAAAACTGGGTCCAAAGCTTCCTGTCTATTGTTTCCAACCTCCTAATGTCAATTCAGCATAATTATTTTATACAGTATTAAAAATTAAATTATTTCAACTACAGGCGGAACTGACGAGGATATCAAAGCAAGAATCGGATAAGCAAGACAAGCTTTCACTACTCTCAAGTCTGTGTGGAGGTCAACAACACTCAGCATCAAAAATAAGATCCGGATTTTCAACTCCAATGTGAAGTCAGTGCTACTATACGGACCAGAGACTTGGCGCGTCATAAAGAGCATCTCAAACAAACTACAGACCTCCATTAACAGTTGTCTTCGCTCAATACCACTCAAGATCAGATGGCCGGCCAGAAAAGGTCAGCAACAGGGATCTCTGGCAATGAGCGAACCAACCCAACAGGAACCGATTGTGAAACAAGTAGGCAGGGAGAAATGGAGATGGATTGGCTGGCCGTACTCTTAGGAAACCATCAAGTGACATCACTAGACAAGCCATTGCTCGAGTGGAACCCGAAAGGGAAGCGGCGAGTTGGTCGTCAGTGCAAGGGTGACTTGGAGGAGGTCATGTGAAGAGGAGA